TCCCCTGAGCCGCGGAAGGCGGCTCGTGCTGGGGTGAACGCTCAGCACGGAGGCGGTCGCCGTCCGCGCCGCGCCGGCAGCGCTCGTGCGGGAGGGCGGGCTCGGGGTCCTGCCCTGGGCCTGTGCCAGAGAGTCAGGGGTCCCGCGTGTTAATGTTTAAACTGCTCTCGAAACCACCCTTTGAAAGATTTAATAGATTCGAGGATTTGCCACCTCTCAGGAATCTATTTTCTATTAATTTTATAATGAAAGTGCTACGTTACATCAGATGTAATTGTGCCAGGTGAGCTTTTCCTTCTGCACTTAAATGAACCCAAGCGTTTTTCCTTTTCATTTAAATCCCTTCAAGGAAGTGCAACGTCTGTTACTTTTGTTTGTTTAATAACCGAGGTCCCTGTGCTTTGTAGGGCAGTTTGCTGAGAAGCAATGCCGCTCTGTCACAATTGCCACTCCTCTGCCCCTCCTTTGTCCCTGAAATGAACAAACCAAAGTCTGAAATTAGGAGGAAAGGTAGTTGTTTCTGTTTGTTTCGTGCAAGATTGATCACCTTTCAGGAACAAAAAAGCAGAGAAAACAATACTTAAGTATACTGATATCCAGCCTCGTCCTCTGTTTCTTAGGAGCGAGCACTTAATCTCGGTGCCGTTGGGGAGCACAGCCACCGCTGAGCAGTAACGGTTTGCGAGCGTTGCAGGCGTCCCGTGCCTTTACGCTGTAGGATCGGTATCTGTACGGGATGTGATCGTGAAGGCAGAGGTTTCCAAAAATAAGAGTCACGAATGCTGCCTTGACCTACGAGTTTCCGATTCCCCTGCAGTTACAGATTCCAGGATTTTTTAAAAAAGTACTTGTGTAGGAGCAGTGCTTGTGCATCCATTCATGGCGTGTGACTTCAGTGGGGCTAGAGCTGCAACTAAATCCCAAATACTGGGATCCCAACAGTCTTCCCTTTAAATAACTCCATCTAGTTCAGTTCCCCAGGAGCTGGTAGTGAGCGTAGATCTTGCCGTGCTGGTGGAGGGTGGAAGGGCAAATGGAGAGGAGAAACCAGTCTGTGCTTGTGGGAGTTCTGAAGTCAAAGACAGCGGAAAAGAAAGAATACAGGTGTATGGCAGAGCACTTTTATCTGGGCCGAAGGACATTCTGCTCACCTGTATCCCCTGGATAATTGTATTTGGCCGTAGGCTGGTTGAGGAAATTTTGGTACCCTGACTTGCATCGAATAAACTGACTATGCCTTTCCAGTTTTATATTAATGAATGAATGTTCATACATTTCAAAATCAGAAGGCAAAACATTTGAAAGGTGTTAAGTATTTCTAAATTATCAACTTAATTTTCATCGATGTTTCATTTACCTGACTTTCATGTTTGCATTGCTGGTTTGCAATCATACCTTTTTTTTTTTCTTACTCTAGATCACTGCATATAACAGGCGTACCTTTGAGACAGCAAGACATAATTTGATCATTAATATAATGTCAGCAGAAGGTATGTACAGAAAATAGCTTGCTGTGTTTTGAACTGAATAAGCAAAAACATCTTATGGGCTCCTATTCTTTTAAGATTAAAAAATTAATGTAAAATAGTTGTCTGGTGTTCAAGCCAAATGTGGGGGCACAAAGGGGAAGTAAGAGAGTTTTCCCTCTCTTGATTCGATTTGTTATTTTTATCTGAATTATTTCTGACAGGTTAAGACTATTATTCCTCATTCATTAAAAAAAAAGCACATTTGCACTTTTTTATGATTAATTTCATTTTTTTCTGCTGTCTTTTCAAATGGACCTTACACGAAAGATTTTATTCTCTCTCTCGTGTTTAGTTTGCGTAGCTCTGCATGTTCTTTATGCAGAGGATGACCATATAGGCAGGTTCAGAAACCAACAGATTGTGGCATATATGGACATTTCAATTAAAATAAAAACAAGTTTGTGTCCTTAAAAATAGTTCTCTTCATCTTATTTATCTATTTATGATGTGGAGTATCACAGGTTGGAATCCCTTGTCACTGCAGATCAGTTTTGACCCCCAAATTAGCATGAATGTAATTTTGTCTGTTTAGTGCAGATTTACCGGCTGAGACTCTTTTCCTCTAGACAACTCCTCTGTCTCCCAGTTGGGTTATAAACAGCCAGTGGTTTTCCACTTACGTAACAGTGATGGCACCAAGTGTTTAATGAAACTTGGTCACAGGAGGTTCAAAGTGAGATGGTCCAAATACAAGACTTTTGGAAAGGTCTATCAGCCTTGCAGTGGTATTGTGTTAATCATTCTTCAAATTCTTTGTTACGGAGCCTTTGTTTAAGGCAAAACCTTTCCCTTTTCATCCCAACTAGACTTTCCTTTGCCGTATCAAGCGGAGTTCTTCATAAGGAATATGAACGTGGAAGAGATGTTAGCGAGTGAAGTTCTCGGCGACTTTCTCGGAGCGGTGAAAAACGTGTGGCAGCCCGAGCGCTTGAACGCTATAAACATTACCTCAGCCCTCGACAGGGGCGGGAGAGTTCCCCTTCCTATTAATGACATGAAGGAGGGGTAAGCACACGCGGCACTGATGGGTTTGCTTTGCTCTTTTGTTGTTCTTACTGAAAAGCTTAATGTTTTCTCAGGCTTTCTAGAAACTTTGCAATTGCTGTTTTTATATTTTGGAAATGCGGATTGGTATTAGATCCGAGAAGTTTACTGGTGTTCTGCACCCGCTGTTACACCGTGGGGTTGTCACGTTAGGTACCGCTTCAACAGGCGACAGTTCCTATATATTGAATTTACAATCCAAGGCATATTAATAAATGTCAGCAATTACAAACCAGCGGGTAGTAAGTACGCGTAGTTTGTAACTGCGGTCTTACTCCTGAGCCGCCGTTCGGCACACTTTTCGGGTATTCAATAGCTCCCCCTTCACAAAACTCAAAATTTTGAAGCGGGGTGTGACAGAGCATGGGTTACAAAGCCCCTTGGAGTTCTCGGAGCACTTAGCGTGTGGCACCGTCATTGTAGCTGTACTCTTGTGTGGTGAAATTCAGCTACGTGCTTCGGGAGCCCTGTGGGCTTTCCCTGGAAGTGATAAGCTGGGGTGTCTGGGGAATTGAGGTTCCTGAGTGCGGACTGCAGAACGCCCTCTTTCCGGTTGTGGTTCATACCCATAACTCCTGTTCTGAAATAGGGTGCTTCACGTAGAAACGGGCAAGGATTCAGTCTTTGCAAAATGCAGCTGTGATACGCCTTTCCCTGGCAGAAATAAAGGTGCCTGGTTATTTTTAGATATTTTTAGATATTTTTGGGTCGAATAATATCTAAGAAAGGGCTGAGGGTTCAAAATCTGATGTCTGTGCAGAAAATACTGTGGTTTCAAAGCCCTTTTGTGCATCTGGAGTTTCTGGGCACAGCTGGAGGAGGAAAGTGACGCTCTGTACTAGCCAGAGAAGCAGCAGAGGCACTTACAAGCCTTTCAGACACGTAGCTGGGTCATGCCTAGTCCACCAACTGGCAACCAGGGCCTCATTTCTGCTTCGGGATCCCTTCATTCATGGTTGCCTGGTGCAGCAGGCTGTATTTTCCAGCAGCATTCTGCGTATTTAAGTATGAAAATTAATGATACAATTAGCACAGTAGCGCTTAGGTATCGTATTGCTAAATGACGTGCCAAGTTTAGGTTCAGCTTTCAGCATTCTGCGGATTTTGTTGGCGGTGCGTAGCCACAGCAGGGAATCTTTCAGGAGAAGCTGGGGGCTCTGGCAGGTTCGTATTAGTATTAGGTTTAGAAATCGCTAGTCCTTGTGAATTGTATTTGAAAACATGGGAAGAAGCTCTTTAAAAATACTATGCTGAGCAAGACTGAAGGTTTCATGAGGGTTAAATCATCCTGTTTCAGTGCCACTTTCAAAAGTCGTGCTGATTTACTCACGTGAGGAACCTGCACTTGGAGCTCTGTGACTTCATGGCAATCGAGAGCCCTAGTGGTGAACAAACGCTTGCCGTAGGGGGCGGAACAGAGTACCTTGTCAGAAGTAGCTAGGAAAATCCTTTGGGTTTCAGTCTGTTATTCATAGGCTTAGGTAAAGCATACTATCGAGAAAAAGAACCTTGAGAAGTAGTTTTAGCCTTTAAAGCACAGGTGCACGTTACCGTCAGCAGCAGTGATGTCTGGAGGAGCACGTCCTTGTCCGGCGGGCTCTGTGGGAGGCATCCCAACAGCCTGCCGCTCGTCTCTCTCCGCAGCGTCTATGTTATGGTCGGGGCAGATGTGCCGTTCTCCTCCTGCTTGCGGGAAGTGGAAAACCCCCAAAATCAGCTGAGATGCAGTCAAGAAATGGAGCCTGTAATAACCTGTGATAAGAAATTCCGTACTCAATTCCATATCGACTGGTGTAAAATCTCTCTGGTGAGTTACTTATTATTGCATGAAAACGATGTTTGTAGAAGTACCGCCTTTTGTGCCAGACACGAGTGAGGTAGGAGCTTTGCCAGCCTGGCCAGACAGCGCTGCCAAATTCCACTTTATCGTGACTGGTTGACGTTGTTTTCCATCTAGCAGGTGCCCTTAAGGTTGTGAAAGGGTTTTGCCAGGCAGGATAAATTCTATTGGTGAAACCACCGTGTTTGTCTTCACTAGCAGTGATCTATATAAATGGCCAGAGAACTCGAGGGCTTGCAGAACTAGGAGTAGCAAGAGTGTTATTCGGGTAGGTGTAGTTCATTAATTCCGTGTGCTGATGCTGCTGGTTACACTTACTTTCCTAAAAAGCATGTGTCTGTTTTCTCAAACATTGAGCCTACAGCCCTGACCACTTAAATAGTATTTCTATGCTGTTAAAACTCCAAAAATTGTCTAAAACGCATTTCAGGTTAAAAATTAAACAGAAAAAGCAAAGGAAATAGTGTTGACTAATGAAATCAGAATAAACGGGAACACTCTTCTCTGTCAAATACAAGAAAACTGATAACGGAACACTAGCCTGTTTGCCATAGAAGGAGTATGATTCCCAGAGAGGCTTTATAAGGTTATTTTTGTTTAGTTCTGGTAAGGAAAATCAAGAAACGATACAGTACTGGAAGAGAACGTTGCAGAGAAGTTTGAACAAAGGTGGTGAGGTACATAAACTTAGTTGACTGTTGAGCTGCTTCAGCCATTGCCCAGGAGGAAGCTGAGAGGGAGATAAGAGAGGGTTTCATAAAAACCGTGTTGAGTTTGCCAAAAGGTATTTGTGCACAAAATGGGTTAGACAACTTCTGACCCTTTCTTTCTATACACTGTAAATCAGGAGAGCTGGAAAATACTCGTGTCCAAAAGAATATCCAGCTTGTTTGCTGTTCATTGGCTTTCTGCTGAGGGATTGCAAGAGGGACGTGGGTGCACGGCCGTGCTCAGCACACAGCAGAAGGCGCTCAGCCTTGGCAAGAGCCCGCTGGGTCAGGGCTTTGGTTCCCTTCGACCAGGAGGAAGTAGAACAGAGGTGCAGCAGCCGATGGCATCTCTTTTTGGTAAGGTTTTCCGATCCTGGCTCATCAGCAAGCTCGGGAACATGGCCTAGGTGAAGCTGGGACCTAGAGGAGAGCTGGTCGGGTAGCTGTTGCCGTAGCAGTTGTTAATAATTCCTTGCCTTTCCTCGTTAATAAGGTGGATGACGGAATGTGCTTATTAAATTGAATTTGCAGTCCCTGTGAAACTGAAAGGAAGTGCAGGTGGATCGAAGGGCAGGATAAAATTCAGAAAGGTCCCGATAAACTGGAGAAAAGGCCTTGGAGACCAGGGTGGGTTTCGAAGGGAGCCGCAGAGGCCTGGCGCGCCCCGGCGAGGGCGACCAGCGGCGCCGTGACCAGCAG